CGTGGCTGCAGCCAAATAAAACTGTTTCCTGCTGTCTTCGGTGCCTTGCCTCATTTGTCCCTACAACAGGGTTTTGTAATTTTCTCTGGACAGCCTGATCAAGTACTCTACCCACTTGAGGGAAATTGACCTTGGAAACAATGACTTGGGAGAAACAGCTGCTGGTGACATCCTTGGAGCACTGAGAGCCAGGAAGAAAGGTAGAGTATTATCAATTTGTGTCTCCCCCATCTGCCAATCAGCTCATTCCTAAATTCTGTAGTATTCACAATTTGCTCCACATTTTTACCCCCATTTAAATAACAAGAACTATGCGATGACTAGGAGTAGTGTCACAGGCTGGCCACTGCTGTGTCAATGTGCCCAGTGGTTTGCACAGTGTTAAGAACTTTTATGATGTCATAGGTAGTCTTCCATCTAAGTAATGACACCCCCTCCTACCCCCATGACACGGGGTCTTGGCTATGTTGCCCAGACTAGCCTTGAACTCCTGGGCTCAAGCCATCCTCCTACTTCATCGGCCCAAGTAGCTGGGACTAGAGGTCTGGCTAGTAATAAATATTTTTAAAGTGAACTTTTCACTGGTTTTCCTTCCGTTTGCTGCCATCCTTGCTTATTCTCCAGGAACTCTTTTCTGGTTCTCTATTCTTCTCCCAGCCCAGACTGCAATGATTTCTCCAAATAGCAACTGGAAAACTCAAGCAGTAATCCTCAAGGGGTTACCATGTGTTTCTGAGTCATCTGTCCCAAAGAATGGTTCATTGTGATTGGCCTGGGGCTGCATTAAGAGGATGTTATGATCATGCAGCCTTTGAAAATGAGAGAATCCCATGTGGCAGAAATTGGTCACTTTGGCCACCCTTGGCCACCCCTGCCTGTCCTTCATGATCAGGCACCACTAGAGTTAACAATGGCTGCTCTTCCTGTTGAAGGAGAGGGGGAGGAGAAACACCCTTTTAAATGCAGCACCATAAACGACACCATAAGCAAATTTGAAAATGAAATTCGATACTAAGAAAAGTTGGGGGAACTCTTAGAGGTGCACTCCATGGCAAGAGGCATGAAGGTGCACACATATCTGGTCTTTGCTATTTCTTCCACAGAATGGCCTTAGAGCCTGGCATGATTGTAGACCGTATTTTTTCTTTCAATGCTGGTAGTGGTTAGAGAGAAGAATTATAATTGCTTGCTGTATTTTGACTTTCTAAACTAGAACTCTGGCCTTTAAAAAAATTTTTTTTTTAGTTGTAGATGAACACAATACCTTTATTTTATGTATTTATTTTTATGAGATGCTGAGGATCCAAACAGTGCCTCATACTTGCTAGGGCAAGTGCTCTACCACTGAGCCACAACCCCAGCCCAACTCTGGCCTTTTTAAACTGCCAATCAAATGATGCCAGGATTTTTCAATGATCCTTTTCTTTGGAGGAACAGAACTTCTACTCCCTGTTCCATTAGAGTTGAATTCCAATTCAACAGAATTGTGCTGTTAAATTTAATTCAAATTTGACTTTAATTTTAAACTCGATAAACAGGAGGCAGGTTAATGATTTCCTTTTGCTTTTCCTGGCCCCATGAAAAGCTTTCATTACCCACTGCAGCAGAAGGCATTAAGAGACTGCAAGATAATCTTCCCACTATTAGTGAGTGCTAATGATGGATAGTCTCAGATGACTTGATAGAAAACGATTCTCATCCAGTATGTATTTGCAACTGGCAAACATTGTGCTTTTTCAGTAAATGATTTAATTTGCATAAAGGAAAGGATAATTATGAAATGCCACCTGAAAATACACTCATTTAGAAAACATTAAAAGGTAGTGGATAGTTCAAGAAATTGGGATTTTCCAAATTTAGTAGTATATATCAAGAGTAATTTTAATGCATTTATTTAGCTCTTGAGCTAAAATAATTATGGGATGTTTCTGACGGGGTGCTTCAGATGGTTAGTTTGAACTTCATGAAAGACTCCCCAAATGGGGACAACTGGTTGGATTCCTTAGGGAAAGTCTCTTACCATTTAGCCCTAATCACATCATTTTAAATGTTAAAAGGCAATTAGTAATATCACTGATTGTAGAACTAACGTTCTTTTACTGATTGTACCTGTGTTCTTATCATTTGCAAGTTAACCAGCTAATTTCTAATTTTGCCTCTTTCACAAAATCCAAATTAAGAGCCTGGGGTCACTTATTGGCCTACCAGGGAACTTCCTTCAATGACGGATCATGTGCAATAGGCTCAGAAGCCTAAGATCCAGCCCATCCAATGGGGCTGTGAGATGGCCTACTCCTTTGTGATTATGTTCTTCTTCCCCTCAGGTAAACTACCAGTCTTAAAAATCACAGTCACTCCCCAGATCTCTTCAGACACCTTCAGATCTATTTGGAAAAATAGCAAGAAGTCTTTAAAGGCCCCAAGAAAGAAGAAAAAGAAAGGTTCGTTCTTAAATATCTGTGTTGGTGAGTAGTGTCCACCAGGGGGCGCTGGATGCAGCCTCCGCGCACCGCTGGGGTAGATGGCGCGGTCAGATGCAGATTTCGCGCTGAATAAGGAGAATTTATGTTTTAGATCACACGCCCCTAAACCAACGTCCCATTATAATGAATGATGATTGCATCAATAGACAAATAGGAAGAGAACAGCATCGTTCCCTCAAAGATTTAGTGCAAACCCTGTCTCCCCTTTAATCCCTTTGCCTGCCCAAATTCTCTACTTCCTAGTAGCCTGTTGCAGGTCTATAAAAGGCGAATTTACCTAAACTCTTCAGGAAGCCTGCGCTACCTCTTGGAGGGAATTGATTTAGATATGTTCATTCTCTATTGTGTAAAGTTGAAATTCCTCCCCCCAACCCCTTATGATTTCCCATTTATTATCTCACAGGCTAAAAACCGAATATGGATGTCAGGTTTCCACGCGCAGGTCATCTATTTTGATGGCGACGACGCAGACATGCCTGGAAGGACATTGCTTGTTCTGTAATCATATTTTTTTTTTCATTGTAACCAAAACATTTTCAAGTTCTAAAATTCCATAAGGTTCTTTTATGAAAATTGAAAGTGATGTTAATCTTATCACACGGCATATCTAAAATGCAAGTTTCTCAGTAGGTCTTGGTAAATTCAGGTGCAATTCTTCTCTGGGACTTCTTTTCTTGTG